CCCCCCCATCCAATGTCCCATCGCCATCCGTGGCCATCCCTGATGCTTCAGAGGAAGGAGATTTAAAAAAATGTTGATTCTATTGAAATTCTCACAGAAACCAGGTAGGTTTCCTGCCAGCTCACCCAGCCACCTCCCCGGGCTCTTTTTCTTTACACCTTTCAAAAGAATGAAAGGGGCCTCACACCTCCCAAGGTCTGTCTTCGCTGCAGAGTTAACACAGGCTCTTACTCAGGTGTTTTCCCAACCTCTCTCCCATCCACTCACAAACCTCACACTCGAGTTCCTGGTGCTTTAAACCCAGACTAGCTGGCCTGAGTGGGGTTAGAGCTTAGATTCTGCTTTCACTTGGGCTGGTAACCCGCCCACTTTGCAGTGAGGATGCAGGCTAATTACTTAAGTGCTGATAGTCCTCCAGTATGTTCCCACAAATTCCCGTGCTCCCAGAAGGACAGACTGATTCTTCCAAAATTCACTGGGAAAGAATCATAGCACAGCTCATCTTAGTGCAGCACAAAGAACCACAGGCTAGGCCACCAGAAGTCCTAGTAACACACATGAGGAAGTGAGGACCCAGTAACTCAGGTATGGTTTTGCAGTGTGGCTGCTCAGATGCAAGCTAGGCTAACCTGGGTGCTCAGACCCAGGTGCTGATCACCTGAGTTAATTCTGCAGTGAAGACATATCTTATCTGTAAAGTGCCTTTTGAGGTATCTCTTAAGTAGCCTCCGGCTAGCTAGCTAACACTGGCTTCACTTTTACTGCCTAGGGCAAAAGAGATTAACCAGAGAAACGTTTTTGATAATATGGGAGCCTGAAGTGATCCTGGGAAGAAAATTATTTCACAGCAGAGCCAAAGGGGCCTCCTTTGTCAGGGTGGGAAACAATACAGAACAGAATACAGGAAAGGGCTGATAGCTTCCTCCCCTCCTGGCTAAAATAATAGCTGCCAGGAAAATTACTTTCCAGGAGAGGAACAAAAGTGGAATAGTATGAATGGGGGAATAAAGAGCTTATTACGCACAAAGTGAAGGCTCTGTGGAGGGAGCAGGGAGAATAGAAGAGGTCAGAGGAGAGAGATGTTACGGGGTGGAATTCTCAAACTTCTTCTTAGCTCTCAAGGCTGCTACCCGCACTCTGGTAGGACTATGGAAAAGCAGCATGCAGTAATTCTAGGTTGGTGGGGACAGAGAACAACTTAGCACAAATTGGCCTCCTGTCTTTGCACCATTAGATGAACACTGTCCAGGCTCTGCTATGAGCAAATGATGTAGAACTCTGATTGCTCTCGCTCCCACAGGAGCCAGTCCAATAGATACACTGTGCTGGATTGTGATAAACGCACACTAAGTCTCAATCCAACCACTACCAGCCAGCTTATATGAACCGTGATCTTCTTGGCCATGTGGGAGCTAGGAGGGTGAACTTGGCTCTATCCCAAATGACTTTCTTTATTACCCTCCAAATGAGAGGCATCGGAGAGGATGCATAGACTGGAGGGAAGTTCCAATGCCTTCTGAAGGCATCCGAAACCACCCCTCTCACTTGTCTCTGTATCTGCTCCAGAATTTTTTGTGTTTTTCAGTTTTCCATAGAAGCCGATATCCAGTGTACCCTGCTTGTACTCTATCCTCTGAGAGTTTACTTACTGAGATCCTTGCATATATCAGTTTTCTGCTTAACCCTCAGGTTTTATTTCAGCTTGATGGACAGATGGTGGAACTCCCCCTACTTGACGAGAAAGGTCTCCTTCTTCAGCAGGGGTCTGCTCTTTGCTCCTTGATGATCTCTGTACACCAGCACAGTAGTGTTGTCTGAGTTTAGACGAATGCACTGACTGTGGCAATGACTTTTTGAGATTGATCAGTGCAAGATGGACTGTTGTGAGCTCTAGCAGGCTGATGTGAAGAGCCTCTCTGAAACAGTCCATCTTTCTTGCTTTGGCTGCTTACACATGCTCCTCCAACACAGCAAACTGGAGTCAATCACCTGGAGTCTTTCTAGGTCCTGCAGGGCATCTCTTTCAATGGGAAAACCTCTTGGATACATAAGCTGCCTTTGATATTGTTAGCTGAAGGGTGTTGCTGATCAGCACACAAAAGACCTTGAAGAAGATGGTGCAGCACTATGACAGCTCTGCTCATACTTCTCAGATTCCAGAGATTCATAATTGGCAAATGCCAAGACCCACATTGTAGACTCCCGTAGGAATCTATGTTCCCCGTTCCCCTTTTCAACATATACATGAAACTCATTGGAGACGTGGTGATACCATTGGCTCCTGATATCCAGCTCTGCATCTCTTTGTCGTCAGCTGCAGTCAACACCATCACACAGATGTCTGACTTTGGCACCTATAAAGTCCTCTGCCCACCATCAAACAATATATTTCTTGTCCTTATGCCCAGAATCTAAACTACCACACACAACTCCCTTACACAGAAGAACACTAATCTCCTATAGTATTGATTCATAATACAGTTGTAGCATTTCTGGAAGCTGTCATGATTTGCACCAGTACTGTAAAACACTGTAGTATTTATTTAATCTATGTGCTGAAACCAGTTCTGACTTTCCTCATAGTGAAACTTCTCAAGAGACTTCCCACTTGCTCTGTAGATTCTTTAGGTTCAGCTGTAAATTGATAGCATAATAAGAGCTACAAGTCTTAAAATGTCTTGTCAAGGCCACTATTTTTAACTGGCACCTCATCCCCCAGCCTTCCCCTGGGGAAAAGAAACTCTTCGGACCACTGTAAGGGAGGCATCATTTGCGAAGAAGATAAGACACACAATAATGCTCAGTAGGCTGAAATTTAAGCCTGATCATTTTAGAAATGACGTTCAGAAGTAATGCATGGTCCCAGCACAGAAGCAGCTGCAGGGTTTTGTTACTGTCACTTGCAAAGGCTCACAGCTCTCAAGTCTACCCTGCTCAAACCATGGGCTCCCAGGCCAGGAGACACCATTCTGTCCTTATGAAACCTTTAGCATAACAACCTAACCTCCAGGACGGACTTCGTTCAGATACAACACTGTTCTGGCATTGAGGTAATGATTCTAAATCCTGAATTATTTTGAAAATTTAAGCTGCATGCTTCAATCAGTTTGCATGAGTGCCATGATTAAAAATGCTTAATGGGATTTGCGTGCTTATATGCCAGGAGTAGTAAAAACATATCTCTAGCACATTGACTCTAGAGAGGGTTGAAACAAATATCAAGGAGAGAAAACCTGCTCTCACTGAAGTCAATGAAGTCAGGATTTCACCCAGGAAACTTTAAACATGAGGTATGTAAATACTTTTAAAAATGAGGAAATTTCTTTCACCCCTTCACAACTGCAGCCTCTCATTCATTCAGGCCAGTGCTGAAAGTTTTAGCTTTTAACAGCATCTATTATAGAATCATGGAATTGTGGGAGAGAAAAGTTCTGTTAGATCCCATCTAGTTCTCCACCAAAGGGCTAAGCTACACGATTGCTGCCTTCAGTATATTTTCCAGTGCTTTGTCCAGTCTAGTTTTAAATGCAAATGTGGCTTTGATTACTTCCTTTCACAATGTGATAGGTCTCACTGTCAGGAAGTTTTTCTTGATACCCAACTGTTTTACTGTCCTAAGGGGAAAAAAATTCCCTTTTGAAGTAACAGACTGAAGAAATGTTTTTGGATGAAAGAAACTTCAGCAACTGCCACGTTCCCTTTTTGATTGTACTTGGCCAAAGTTTATGTTTAATGGAGATTTTCTACTATCTATGTTTATTATCTATCTTAGGTACTTATATGATCCCCATTACCGTAGTATCTGAGCAGCTCACAAAAGGCTATATTATCCTCACAGCACCCCTGTGAGGTAGGGAAGTGCTATTATCCTCATGCGACGGATAGAGAACTGAGTCATAGAGAGACTTGTCGTTCTCATTATGCTTATCAATTTACAGCTGAGCTTCAGGAATCGACAGAGCACGTGGGTAGTCTCTTGAGAAGTGTTACTGGTGAGGAAAGACAGGCCTGGGTCCAGCTCGTAAAGGACTGGTGTGTGTGTGTGTGTGTGTGTGAACGTACCAGCCCTTATATTAAAAAGTAACTAGGTAAACACTGTGTCTTGCTGTTTTGTAAATTATTGTCATTATTTTGCTGAGTTTTCCCCTGTTTTGTGGATGGCTTTCTGGGGAGCTGGGATTTTGTGGTGAGTCTTTTAACCCTTACATGTTTCTCCATTTTTGTCTTATGCCTCTGTTTCCTTTGAAACTCATTCTGCATCCCTTACTCACCTCAAGTAGGACTTTTTCATGCACCTAGATCCTTTTACGTTTAACTTTTTATTTTTCTGTTTGTCTTTATCTCTCATTAAAAAGGCCAGCAGCAAGCATTTTGGTTCACAGCCAAAAGGACATAAGATTTTTAACTCTTTCCAGCCCCTGATATACAGGGGAAACCCCCTTTTCCTTCAAATCCTCCTTAAAACTCACTTCTTCTGGGAACACACTGTTAACCAGTTAAAAAGCTGTTGCACACCTATCGTAACCAATACAAATACTAACTGTGCTTTAAGCTGCAGAGCTTCTACAGATCAGTCAGTGTACCCTGTGCCTGAATTGTTTTGTCCATGTAAACCCTAACCCTGCAAGTCAGTCTGTGAGTGGACCCTCTGCATCTGCACAGACCTCCATTAACTTCAATGAAGCACCAAAGGGTTCAGGGATCTATTGAACAACTTGCAGGATGTGAGTCTGCAACTGTAAATTTCTTGAGGCAAGAATCCTATCTCCTCCTCTGCGTTTTGTACAGGGCCTAGTACACTGTTAGTGATTAACAAACAATTAATAATAGCTGCCATACCAGAGCAGAAAAATAGACCATTTAGTTTGCGGTTCTCTCACCAACAGTGGCCAAGACAGGTTGCTTCAAAGAAAGATAAAGCCCTCTCTCTTGTGATGCACCTAATAATGCTAATATATCAGAAGCAAAATCTCCTGGTGTGAGCATAAGATTTTGGAAAAGAGAACTCCTGAGTTTTAATCGTAGTTCTGACGATGGACTCAGTCTATGGTTTTGAGTCACAATTAAGGCAAACATTTAAGGCAAATTTTTCAAATGTAAATGCCTAAAGGTAGGTACCAAACTCCACATTTAGGTCAGGTCTACACTCAGGGCCGCCGAGAGCAGGTTCGGGCCCTGGTGAAAAAAAATTTTCAGGCCCCCCAGCAAGGGCGGACCGGCTAAACAGGGCCAAGGAGGGGGGAGAAGCCGGACCCCGGACCCCCTTCTGGACCGCCGGGCCCTGGTAAGGCAACTGGGGGGGGGGGAAGCCGGGCCCCCTTCCGGACCGCCAGGCCCCAGTAATTTGTACCGGCTTCACCCCCCTCTCATCGGCCCTGTCTACACTACAGACTTATATCAATATAACTATGTTGCTCAGGGCTGTGAAAAATCTACACTCCTGAGCGACGTAGTTATACCGACGTAACCCCTGGTGTAGACAGCGCTAGGTCAGTGGCAGTGTTGACATAGCTACTGCCTCTGGTGGAGGTGGATTAACTACACTGACAGAAGATCTCCTGAGCCCTCTGTCACCTAAATGAAAGCACCCTGACTTTGACGTGCGGGGCACCTGCGGGTGCTATTGATGTCAGTGGAAGTTGAGGATGCTGCATAACTGAAAAATCGGGCCTCTCTTCTCAGGTGTCCAGGCATGGGTTTTGGAGCACCGACATTTGTGCACCCATCTTTGCGGGGGCAGGGCCAGAGGCGGGGCACTGCAGACAGCGCATGGACTAACGCCCGGCTGGGCGCTGCACTGCAGACAGTGGAAGGGGGGTCTGGGGACGATGTACACTGCAGGGTAGCAGTAGTCAATGCAGAAGTTGCAGTGCCGGCTGCAGAAGTTCGGGGGGGGGGCCTTGTACTGGATTGCAGATGCTAGCAGTGCCATGGCCTGCACTGATGGCTGCAGGCGGGCCAGCGGCAGCATCGCAGCTTGCACCAGGTGTGGCAAAGCAGAGGCTATAATTGCACCGTGCAAGCTGCATGTAGGCCTGCGGCAGCGGCGCTGAGACCGGGCCTCCCTTGCCCCGTGCCTGTCACTCACCGCCCGCCGCTCGGCAGGGGCGGGGCAGGCCTTCCCCCGCTGCTGCCGCTTTCCTTTCCGCTCGCCCCGGCGCGGCGCTTCCTGCTGGAAAGCGCCCTCCGGGCGGCGGCAAAGCCCGGGCTCCAGCTCCCGCCGCTGCTCGGAGCCCGGCTCCAGATGTGGCGCCCTCGCCTCCTTCATTTGCATATGGTGCAGCTGCGCGATGCCCCCCCTCTTCGCGGGGCGGGAGATAGCTAGAGGCCTGCCCTGCTAGGCGAGGACAAAGAGCCGGGTGAGTGCCTGAGACTGGGGGGGTGGGGAGTGCTGGGTCAGGGTGCTCCCTCCCTCAGCTGCTTGCTCCAGGGCACTGGAACTAGGGGTGCTGGCTCCCGCCCCCCCTGGCTTGAAGTGGTTTCCATCATATCCAGGGTTTACAGTTTGGTTCAATGGATCTCAGCATCTCCGCTATACAAATTGTTCCAGCGCCCTGGCTCCAGCTGTTTTCCACAGCTGTATTTCCTACCCCTTAGCTGTGTGTACCCTCCTCCCACACTGTTTTCTCGGGGCTGTAATGCTTTGGGCCAGTGGTTCTCAACCTATTTACTGTTGTGGGCTGCATCCAATGCTACCTGTATGGACCTGAGGATGTCAAATGGGCTGCAGCTGTGTGCTGATTGGGCCGCAGGTTAAGAACCACTGCTTTGGTCTAATCTGATTTGATGGGTTCAGCGTGCGTGCTGGGTGGTGTTGGTGGCCTGCAATACACGGGATCAGACTAGAGTGGTCCCCAAACTGGGGGAGGAACATCTGGGGTGTGTGGCGGGGTCTGGGCCAGCTCCCATGGGGGATGGGGAGGGAGTGCTACCCAGTCCCGCTCTGCCTCCAGCTCTGCTCTGGCCCCCAGCCCCCACTCCCAGCCTCAGCTCAAGCCCCCACTCCTGGTCCCTGCTCCCAGCCACAGCCCTGCTCCTGGCCACAGCCCCAAGCCCCACTCCCAGCCACGGCCCCTGGGCACAGCTTGGCCTCCGCTCCTGGCCATTGCTCCGCCCATGGCCCAGGGGTTTAGGGGGGAAGCATGGACACATTCCATTACTGGTAAGGGGGAGTACGAGAGGAAAAGTTTGAGCACCACTGGACTAGATGGTCTGGTCTTCCAAGGCATCTGGACTTAAACTCTGTGACTTTCCAGATGTTCTCCAAGCTGAGAGGAGAGTTGAGTGCTACCTGGACTAGAGGAATTGAGGGTTAGGATGCATCTGTCTGAGGCCTGCATCCCATGCATTCGATCCACAGCTCTCTGAACTGCAGATCACAAAACATCAGCCAGCCAGTGACCAGGTACTGGATCAGACCTGTGGGATTGGGAGTCAGTTCTCCGTAGCCTCTATAATGAGTCTGCCAACATGGGGGCCAGTTAGTGCCAATTTTGACATGGCCACGTGACCAAGGACCGGGCTGAGACCAGTCTATTTCACAGAGCCATTAAATAAATGTCACATTGCTCTATTATCTGCCACTAATATGGCACCATGGTTAGGCATGGTAGATGCTTTGTAGACAGATATGACCTTGAGCAGGGCCGTCCTTAGGCATACACAGCATACGCAGCTGCGTAGGGCACCATGAAATTTGGGGCACCAAATTGCCCCATTTTTCATGGTGCCCTAGGCAGCTGCGTGCTGCATACGTGGCATTCCTGGCGACCAGCCCTATCCCTCGGCCGGCCCCCCCTTCAAGGGGCAGGGCCGTCCCTAGGGGAGTGTGGGGCCCCAGACAACTCCCTCCGCCCTGCCTCTTACCCTTCCCCCCTCCTCCGCCTTCGGCCCGCCCCCATTCCACCTCTTCCCCCAGCAACCCCGCACTCACCGGCAGCGGCGGGAAGCGGAGCAACCCGGCCCCAGCCTGCTCTACTCCTCCAGCTCCCATCCACAGCGCTCCACTTCCCGCCGCCGGTGAGTGCGGGGGAAAGATCATCCCCCTGCACGCACCAGCAGCAGGAAGCAGAGAGACGCAACCCCAGCCTGCTCCGCTTCCCTTGCCCCGGCCCCAGCCATGTGGCTCGGGTTGGGGAAAGGACCGCCCCCAGCTCTCACCGGCAGCGGGAAGCAGAGCGCCACGGCTGGGAGCTGGCAGACTGGAGCGGGCTAGGGCTGAGCTGCTCCGCTTCCCGACACTGCCGGTGAGTGGGGAACCCTTCCCCCAAGCCTCCTCCCCCGAGCAACACAGCTGAGGGAAGTGCAGCGGGCTGCTCCCGGCCCCCTGCTAATCCCCTGGGCCACTCTGGGCCTGTGGGGCCCCCAAAAGTGGCCCCCCACAGCTCCTGCCTCCCAGACCCTGTGGGGGGGGAAGGCTGCTGGGGAGCTGCGTAAGGCACCCAAATGTCTAGGGACAGCCCTGACCTTGAGGTCCCCATATTTGTATATTAGGATAGGTGTGAAAGAATGGTATAATGGAGATCTGACACATGGTCAAATAAATATCAGCTCATCAGCTAGTGAGTGACTACTTGCTGTAATATACATTTGTACTGTATTGCCCCCCAGAGCTGGCGCTAGGTATAAGCAGACTAAACAATTGCTTAGGGCCCTGAGCAGGTCAAGGGCCCCCATATTAATTATTAGTATATGTTATGAGGGGGGGACCTCAAAATACTCCTGCCTAGGGCCCCCAATGGGCTAGCTTTGGCACTGCTGCCCCCTACTGGATATAATATGTCTGTTTCCTATACCAGGTAAGGTCCTGAGCCTACAAATTGCTGAGTCTACTTCGGAGTCCCCCCTCTCATAATCATTGGGAAACTCACGGAGTGTGGGAAGCAGGCCACATGCACTGGACTGCAGTCTCCTTGGCGAGTGCCTGGCCTTTTACTGAGTGAGTGCTGGAATGCATGGCAGCAGGTGTGGCATGACCCCATGCCAGTGTGGGGAGATGGGATTACAGAGAGGAAAACCAGTGGCCTGGAATGAGAGGCTAAATGAAAGTCTAAGGACCAATACTTGGATCAACTAGTAATCTGTGCCACTGCTTGGAGGAGTCGGTGGCATTTTGCCCTAAAGCTGATGGGAAGGAGGTAACTGTGGTTGAATACAAAGGGCACCTCTCGGGGGGGGGGGGGAAAACCCCACCTAATGGGATTCTCCCTTTTATCACCTCTCACTTTGGCCTGTTTCTTGTCTTGCATCTTTAGAAAGCCATTGATTTGCGAGGATCAAGATGAAAGAGGAGGAAGCTCGGCAGCGGAGGAAGGAGGGCAGGACGAAAAATGGAGAGCGATTCAGGCACAAAGCAAAGAGCAAGGGTAAACACAAAGACAGCAGACTTGGCAGCCAGGAAGCAGAGGAGGTCCCTTTGGTCTCACAGCAGAAGCAGCCAGCCGAGGGGAAAGGGCTCATGGCAAAGCGGCAGGACGAATCGGCCATTGCAATTGGCCTGCAGGTGCTCCTGCCGTACCTGTTAGCAGGGCTTGGCATGGTCTTGGCTGGGATGGTTTTGGACTATGTTCAGGTAAGGGTAAAAAGCTCTTCTGTATGAGTGTGTGTGGTGTGCTGTTACCAGGCTTCAGAGGTCCTGCCTTTTCTCCCTTCCTGGATATGCACAAGTGAAATGGTTACAGCAGGTTGGATGGATATGGGACAGAAGGTCTCCCTTCATTTTGGATGTTCATTTCCTTCCCCACCCCCAAATTTAAACCAGCATTACACAGCTACTTCTGCAGAGTGCTCTGGCTATCTCTAGGCAAGGCCTGTCGAATGTCTTCTCCTGCAGCTCCCATGGAGACTAAAAGCATCACTATGGTGCTTCCAAGCCCCAGAGCTCCCTAGTGCTCTTCTTAGTGCCAAATGCAACCTGCTGAGCACCAAGTTGCTCTCCATGTTTGTTTCTAAGGCTTTCTAATGAATGACTTGGGTCGCTTTCCAGCCTGTGTAACATGTTTTCTGTGATAGGCATTACTTAAAGTCTAAGTTCTGATTAGACTAAGAACTGATTGTAGACCATTTACATTTAGAGTTACAGTTCATGTCCGTAGTACAATCAAGAGGTCACAATGTGTTGTTACTAATGGGTAATGCTTTTTCAGCTTTGCATTCCTATTTTTCCTCCCTGTGTATTTGACTAGCAAGCTATCAGGTCAGCGTGCCCCTTCGTTATCTGATATGGTGACACTGAAAGCCCCGTGCTGGTATTGACAACTTTCAAAAAGTTGGAGTTATTTCCCTTCAGCCCCTCGATTACTCTTGTGGCGTAAGGAGATCAACTAGGACCCATTGAAGCGAAGGACATTGCCTCTTAAGTCTGGCACAGTATCCTTAATTCACCAGTTGATACCAGATACTGCAGCACACGTTATCCACTCTTATAAGAACCCTCCTAGAACAGAAGATGCTATTGTCAGTAGCTCAGCAGAGGGCCTCTTAATTTAGTGTCCTTCCTGATCCTGGTTTTGTCTCCCCCTTAATGGAGTTTTAACATATAGAGGGTTTGGTTTGGTTTTTAATTTTTAATCTCTCTCTGTTTTGATTGTTTTCCTTTTTTATTAATAACTGATGTTTAATATAAATTACCTTTTATCTAATGTTCACACAACCACTTTACAAATCATGTATACAGTGGCAGGTGAAGCGTTTCCTGAAAAGCGGTCACTTCTGGGGAAGCACGTGCCAGTTGTTAAACAGTTGCACAGCAGCGTCACTCTGTCGTTGAGAACAGGAAGTGAAATGACTCCCCCTATCCAACAGAAATTACAAACAATTCCATGTGAATAAGAATACATAGTACCCTTCCCTCTCATGCCGAGTTCCTAACCAGTCAGGGAAGAAATCAGCACAGTGCAAGCTCATTTATGGAAAGACAAGCGCTCCAGCTGCTAGCACTTGGCCTGATCAGTGTGCACAGCCCAAGTGAATGTATGGCTCTTTCCATTCCCCCCACCCCCGCACGGATGGACTCACTGATGCTTGGACTCTTCTTCCCTTTTCTGCCTCCTCACCAGCCTAACCTATCCCAAACCACCTGTTGCTGCTGCTTCTGCTGAATGAATAGGAACTCAGCATTTCCCTGGTGCTCCTTTCTGGCCTCCTCCCCTCCTCACTCATGGTCTGCCTGCTCCCAGCCCACCTTGACGTAAACGCTCCCCTCTCCTTTTTGTCGCTGTTCAAATAGAGGGAGAGAGATAAATACATTAAAAAATGAAATTGAAATAATTTGCCCCAAACTGGCAGTGAACTAGCAGTATCAGTCCTGTTCTTATTCCTGGAGCCCACTGGTGCTTAACAGCCCTGCCCTCCAGTGATTTGAACATGGAGGACAGGAAGGTGGCCAGCCACAGTGGTATACACAACACGGTTGGGGACAGCTTGTGCTACCACATTCTGCAGCAAGGATAAGTCACATCTAAAGAAAATGTGTTTAAAATCTTGTTCTTTGGCATTTTGTGTCTTTCCCTGTGCTCCTTTTAGTGCTTTTGATTTTCTTTTTGAAAGTTATTCATTAGAGGCCCCGGTCAGGGGTAAGAGCCCCACTGTGCTAGGTGCTGTCTAGGCATATAACCAGAAGTGGTTCCTGCCCCAAAGAACTTAGTGTAAACAAAATATTACCTTGTGGGACAGTTTGTGCTGGAAGGGGTGAGGCTCTGGATATATGACTCTCTATCAGAGGTTCCTTAAGTGTACAATAAAAAAAGCCAGTGTGCAAACATGGGCCGCCTAAGTTAACTATGTTTTCTGCCTGTCGATTTGCCAGTTGAATGCTCTTTATTGTGCTTGCTTAGTAATGGAGCGTGACAGAGAGTGATAAACTCATTCACCCCAGCTTGCCGAAGCTTTAATATAGGAGATACTAGCTATTATGTCACTTTATGGCACCTGGATCTTTCAAACAATCTGATACTTTCCTTATACTAATGCTTTTGCCTATGAACGAGTAATTCACAATGTACAGTGACTTTTTAGGACTGTGTATATTGATTATCTGCATACATGCATACAAACCCCTGAAATCCTGAGGTTGCTGCCTAGGACCAGCCCTGCATTCGTTACTCAGTTGACCTCAGACTTCTGCGTGGAACCAGAGCTTCATCCTATTACCTTGAAGTTGTTGGTGGGAAGAAGCAGACTGAGTCATAAAACCCATTTTGTAGGCATTGGAGAGAGCTTCTCTGTTCAGTCTCCCCTGTTCCCATCCCTTTGAGCTCTCCTGCAGCAGGGAGGTTTGAAACGATCTCCCTTCTTTGCTTCCTGACAGCCACCATGTGCTGCTATTGATGGAGTCTCAAATCCCACTGGCTTTGAGAATACTGCCTCCCTGCATTGCTCCTGGTGCATCATCTCTGGGAGCAGCAAAGGACTGAGTCAGGAATCTGGAGCCAGGGCTCTTGCTTTGTGGCCTGTAACACTTACCTGGAGATCCTTGTGCAGCCAAACCCTATAGACTTGATAATTGTGTGTGTGTTTGTGAATTTAGGGCTGGGGAAGGTATCCACACTCCCAGCCAGTGTGTTTAGTGCTGGGGACAAATACTAGTTCAGATTACATGGCCCATGTGTCCTTAAATCTCCTTGCTGAGAATGCCTGTTCAGAGGCCAGCTAGTGCCAAATATAGTAATGAGGGTTTTTCAGTGTTGATTTTGAATGCTAGGAACTGGACTGAGACAGGCAGACTCTTTGTACTGGCCACCAAACAGCCAGCGATTTCTATCACTACTGACTGGCTGGATTTAAACCAGCAACTGATCAGTGAAAGGCTCACTATCCAATTTCCAATACCTCAGGCCGTCCAAACCCCCTTTCATTACAAATAACTTATATAGAACCTTTTGATTCCAAGACCCTAACATGCCATCCAAATTATTACAGAGAAGGATGAGTATAAAGTGAAGATTTAAAAAAAACAGACTTTTTAAATTGAAATCAGATTATTTAAATTAACTACAACTTTATTTAAAAAAAAACATTTAAAATTAATTTTGAAATTTAAATATTATAATCTATTAAAATCATTTAAATACAAAAAATTACATTCAATAGTACATATTTGGTGCCAACTTTGAAAGAAAGAAAGCCACTGAATTGGTGGCAGCCACTAGCTAAGCACCTGGGAGCAGAGTTGTTATGTGTTAAGCCAGCTTTTGACTGCAGAGAGAATATTGTCTTCATTTCAGTTTATTCAACTAGGTCAGTTCAGTGACTAGTTCATTCAAAATTAAGAAGCCAATTGGGAGTTGAAAAAGCAGGAAAGCTTGTTATTTTCTCTTCCAATTTGCAAATAGAAATTAGGTGTGAGAGGATGAGATCTACTAGTTCCAAAATCTTGAAGGACACAGTGATCAGAAATAATCGGTTCAATTCACTAACTACAGATAATACTTCCTTCGTTTAATAAACAGGTTAGTTTTAAATGCAAAATATGTTTTGATAAACTTTTTGGCACGCTTTTTTTTTCTTGTGTTTCCAGCATATTTATTTAATTAAAACAAGCAAAATGCAGTTTTTTACCATTTTAATTGAATTTGCATTTCCATCCAAATAGGACTTGACACAAATAACAAGTAAAAAAGTTAATCACCAGATAGTGAATAAGAAATGAATCATTTACCATTTTCTAAAATTATAAAAATGAAGAATCTGAAGAATTGTACGTTAAGCTATATAATGTATATAGCTATAGTATACCCTCCTGGTTAGTAGAAAGAAGCACCAAATTTAGAGTAAAGGCTATATTTAGTTGCAAATCAACATGGTTTAATAGCTATCAACCAGTGAGAATCAACTTTTCTTCAGGAAAATAACTAAAAAGTACAAATTCAAAACATGATTAAAATTGATGATTTAAATCAAGGCTTCCTGTTTGCTGATTTAAATTAATCCATCCTGTCACAGAGGAGCCCTGACAAAACACCTTCCAAGTTCCATTAACGCCCCCACCTCCAAGTTTGGATAAGTTTGGATCTGGATTTGAGCTTTACAATTTAGGCCCATCTCTACAAAGAATGATACAAATTTACTAGCATAAATGGGCGCAACCACACCGAAGTCAATGGGCGTATGCCAGTGACTTTGGCCATGTATCTTTAAGCAGGAAGCACTGAGATGAAGCCACCTCTGGGGTGGAACGCAAAAGCTATTCAGCAGCATGCAGGAATAAGCTTTAGGACAGGAAGTGGAGATATACCTATCTCCTAGAACTGGAAGGGACCCCAAAAGGTCATCAAGTCCAGCCCCCTGCCTTCACTAGCAGGACCAAGTACTGATTTTTGCCCCAGATCCCTAAGTGGCCCCCTCAAGGATTGAGCTCACAACCCTAGGTTTAGCAGGCCAATGCTCAAACCACTGGGCTATCCCTCCCCTATATGAAAGAGCATATATTAGCTATTGGAAACTTTTCCCTTCTTTCCCCATGGTCTAGTAAGATTATAGAGCTACCTTAAATAAGCTCCTGCTGTGACTTTTATCTTGGTCTTTGCAAGGTAGCTGAAAGTTGACGTGATGACAGCAGATAAGGGTATTCGT